GTTTTTCTCTCTTTATTTTTTTTTCTTTCTCTCTTTTATCTCCTTTATCGATTTGCTTAGCTATTACAACTGACCTCCAACTACTCGAAATCGGTATAACACGTGATTAGTATTCGACAGAGACGAGCTTGCCTTGGAGTATCCGTTAAGCCGAACTCTAATGGAAGAAAGTGCCGACAACCGTCAACTACCTGCATGTCTAGGCTAGACTTTAATATATCGTCAACGTCAACTAAACGCGGGTTATTTGCCTACTATGGGTGGCTGCCAGAGCATCTCAACGGCGATAATAGGGCTCGGGCTTTACCACATAAGGCCGACAAAGACTGCGAGTAGAGGCTGAATATTGTTCCTAGAACCTGTGGAAATGTTTCTTATTTCCGCAGATGCCGAGTGTTTTCGCTACTCGGCATGGCGCTATATAATATGACATGCCACACATGGGCGATGAGTCAGTGCCTATAATTTGAGCCTACCATGAGTGAAATGTTTGTTCTGCCTTTTCGCATTGTATATAAGTAGGCCATGTGTGATATTGGTTTTGATTGAGGGCCACCTTGTTGTAAGATTCCGTTGCTTCCGTATATAAATATGCAATCTTTTCTGCAGTACAAGAGATTCAGACACGCCGTCAAGGCGCAGTTGGAGCGCAAACGAGCACTCGAAAACACATCAGAAAAGCACGATGATGATCAGACCCTCGTCAGAGGCAGCTTCTCACTGGCGCCAGGGTGCGGCGTAGATACTCAGGGAGACCTGGAACGCGGAGCTCGCGCCGAAGGTCGAGAGTATCCATGCCACCCATCTGACCATCTCCACGCGCCTCACGGGTATCGTCCCGGCGAGTTGACTGAACGCAATGATATGAGCGTGCCCCGCCAAGTTGACCAGACCATGGCTGCCACGAATCGTCCACAGGAAGAGATCGAGCCGCGCTATCGACCTTCCGAGTCCGATCATGAGGACGAGGATGGCCATGGAGACGCAGGAGAAGGGAGTAACGGAGATGGGCTCTCCCGTCAAGAGAGCAACTCCGATGCCTCCCTCGCTCAGCTCACGACGCAAGTTACCGAGGGCACCCGGCTGGGACGGCGATTGACTGGCATCAATGTACGCCAACGCAACACCAAGGAGGGCGGGGACGGCAACGTCTTTGTAGTGGGATACGAGGGTGATGACGATCCGCTCGACCCGCACAATTGGTCCTTTGCCACTCGGCTCAAGTGTACGCTGATCTTGGCGGCCATTGGTTGCGTCGTGGGTATTGCGTCTTCCATTGACTCGTCGGCCATTCCAGAGGCGGCTCGAGAGTTTGGTGTCAGCGAGGTTGTTGCCTCGCTCGGCACGGGCTTGTTCCTCGTCGGGTTCGGCGCCGGAGCACTAGTGGCCGGCCCCTTTTCAGAGACTGTGGGACGGAATCCCGTCTACATTGGCACCTTGATACTCTACATGATCTTTATCATGGCCGCCGGCTTGGCCCCAAACCTGGGAGCATGGCTGGCATTCCGGTTCATTGCGGGTGTCTTTGGTGCCACCCCGTTGGTGTGTGCCGGGGGTAGTCTTTCCGACCTTTGGCGGCCGATGGAGCGCACATGGTCTTTTCCCATCTTTGCAAATGCCTCTTTCACCGGTCCCGTGCTGGGTCCAGTCATTGGTGGCTGGATTGCTTCGTCGCCGCTTGTCAGTTGGCGATGGACGGAATGGATCACGCTGATTATGTCGGGCCTTGTGCTGAGCATTGTCATTCTCTTCCAGCCCGAGACTTATCCTCCTACTTTGCTGAAGTGGAAGGCAACCCACCTTCGCGACATCACGGGAGAGGACCGGTATCGCGCCGAGATTGAAATCAGAAAGGAATCCTTCTTGCACCGGCTACAGCATTCTCTGTGGCGCCCATTTCTGCTGACAGCGCGCGAGCCGATTATCATGCTGTTTGCTCTTTACCTGACAGTCGTCTATATCGTCCTCTTTGGATTCTTGGACGGCTATAACTATGTGTTTGGAGAGACGTATGGAGTCTCACAAGGAATTACGGGCCTGTGTTTCCTGGGCATTGTAGTCGGAATCTTTTGCGCTTCGTTCATGGTTCCTATCATATACAGATGGGCACAGAATGACTTGCGCAAGATCCAAGAGCAAGGGGGAGATCGGCTGCCACCAGAGTTTAGACTGTGGTTCAGTATGCTTGGCGGTGCGTTTGCGATTCCAATCTCTCTGTTCTGGATGGGTTGGACTGCGAGACCAGACATTTCAATCTGGAGCCCATTGATAGCAGGTGTCCTGTTTGGTTACGGTGAGATGATTTCCCAATACTCGATGCGACTGTCTTGCTTCATTCGTGATAAAAAAAAATGAATCTGCTGACAATGGTATTCCTAGGAATCCTTTGCGTGTTCATCACTAGTTATCAGTATATCATTGACTCGTACGAGTCATACTCGGCTAGCGCTCTGGCCAGTGTTACGATGATAAGATACATGGCGAGTGGCGGTATGATACCTGCCTCGATTCCCTTTTATCGGAATCTTGGGGTCGCGTACACTTGTACAATTCTTGCATGCATCAGTGCAGCAATGGGTAAGTGATTGATTGACCAATGAATCCCCCGGTGTATGGAGATTAGGATTGCGGGGATATGGAAGAAGCAAACCAATGTTGACGCGATATTTTTGCAGTCCCGGTCCCGTACGTGTTCTACAAGTATGGTCCTTGGATTCGGTCCAAAAGCAAGTATGCCATAACTGGTACCACGAGCAAAGAGTAGATGAATTGGTGAATGGAATGGGAGGAAACGACTTGTCGTTTAAAATGTGGTTTTCGGCGAGAATAAGGAATCATCGAGAAGTGAGGTTTGATACCATTAGTATACTCGCCGGCGGGTCTCCTAGGCATTTGGTCGCGTGCTCACTTTTCCGTACCGAATAAACCTGGTCAATCTGCCATTCAATGTGGGTACAGTCAAACAACTTCCCTGCAGCGTTCGGTGTTGGCCTAGTGCAGATACGAGGTGCATCCTCCTCTTGGGGCGAGATGATTATCGTCGATTGCTACCCAGGTAGACCAAGATTGTAAGATGCCAAGATGATTATCTAGTTTGTCAATGACCAGTCATACATCATTGCGGGATTATACTCCAAAGCAGCAGGTCGGCACATGGACTGAATGACTGGCCCACGAGGAATGCGCCCGCCAGACAGACATATGTGACGCACGGTGATGCTAATGTTGCTGCAATATGCGTGCGTACGTAACGGCTCGAGCATGCGACAGCTTCTGAGCAATAGCCGGCACTCATCGTGCTCAAGGGAAAAAAAGCCACTGCAGTTGGAGTGCAGCACTCGCCACGAGAGACGGCAGAAGCAGCAGGATATTCCCCGGGGGGCCCTGGGCGTTAAGCTTCTTGAGCCCACCCTCCCACGCGCAATCCATGGTCAGTTGTATCGAATAAGGATTGATCAAGCTGCAGATGCCGGCGGCTCTGGAGGACGGGACGGCGCCCATGACGGATTACGGATTGATTGCGATGTGGTCGCAGCGCTTGAGGAGATTTTCCAAAGGAGGGCATGTACCACTGCTACAGTAAAAAAAAGTCCCCAACTCTCTCGACGGATTTTGACGGGTCCTGGGTGGTTGACATCTTGGAGATTGGAAATTACCGAGAGAAGCATTGCGCGGTGCTCATCCATAAGCGCTTCTATTATTGGCGCTTCGATAGTCTTCTTGACCCGAGTGGACGAAGAATGGATAATCCCCCGGGGCAAGTTAGTTCGTAGCACATACACGTGTACTGTTAATTAGCTGTCCCTTAGTATACATACCTAGGTACCACAGGCAGTATGCAGATCGGTCGCGGTGCTGAGATCAGGATGGAAGAAGCCGACGATAAGTGATAGCGGGTGTGCATCTTCAGGGCGTTTGCTGGTCTCAGTGCGCGTTGTGATCAGTGTGTCCGGGGTCTTCATTAAATGCTCGTCTCCAGCGAACGATCGAGGCTGTTCTGTTTTCCCCATCCCCCCCATGCACCCCCCATTCTGGACCCGCTTCTGCATTTCTGTGGACTCGCTGTCTTGCATTTGCAGCATTTGGGCGACCCCCTAGCCGAGGAAATACGGGGACCTTGGGACGGATTTCCTTTCTGTCCTTACCTTAGCTCGCGCTGGCTCCCGGCAATCAACCTTATTAATTAGGTGACTTTGCATCCTGCACTGTGAATTGCTTCTCTGCATAACAAGAAAATGGTCTCTTTTTTCTCCTTTTTTCTTTCTTCTTTCCACCATCTTACCGACAAATCCTCCAGATCAGCTCATTCTTGAGTTTGTTTATGTTGTACTGGCAGTCGTCGAAAACCCCCCCTAATACTTCCCTTCGACTGTACCTATTCCCGACGCTTGGGCGATCTGAACCTTTGGAAAGGGACCAAAAAAAGCCACGCCGTTGATTGAGTGGTCCTGAACTGAAATCGCTCCGTAACGGATTACGCGCGTCAGCTCGCTTCTTACTTAACCCACATCGCATCCCATCTGAGCGGCCAGCTTCCACTTTCGCCCTCACCCATTGGACTTTTGAAGCGTGTCATTCCGACTGATCTTCGTCCTCTTTTGCCCTACTCAGCGCTGTCTGTCATCGCTGGCATTCTAAACTTCTGACGACACCTTGCTCCTCTACTCCAAATTGTCCATCTTCCGGGTACTCCGTACCGATTCCACTCGTTTGCCCAACGAAACAACTTGCAACGCTTGAACGTGCGCCCACTTCGTCCGTCATCCTGCTGCGCGTGGCTCCGTTCGGCTTACCCAAAACCCAAGACCATACGACCTCGATCACCGAGACTGCTAAGCTCTCCGCCCAACGTCTGAGCCTCAGACATTTGCATCCTTTGACACTGCGCACACCCGCTAGCTGCCGCTGTCGATCATTGATAGCAGCTGTAGTCCTGTACTACTAATAAGCAGCAACCACCACCGCCCTGTCTGCAACTATTTGTGGAACGAACGCATAATAGCACCAAGCCGCTAAACTCTGATAACAATTGGGATAGCACCGAGCAGAGACGCTCAGTCGCAGGTACCTTTTTTGGACCCTCAACTTATCTCTTCTTCTTTTTTGATGGTTTGTGAAGACCGCCCAAAGCAAGTACAGTAGTATTGTGAACAATGGGCATCTTCGCCAAGGCAGGCCTGAAATGGCTCCTGTCTTCACTCGTCTTCTCACAAGCGCAAGCATTCTACATTCCTGGTAAGTGCCCGTCTAACCCGACGTTACCGAAGTCAACGCAATGGTGTGATTTTAAATGTCTGACATTTGGGATTTCCATGCACAGGCTGGTCGGTCAAGAGCTATAAAGACAACGAACAAATACCTTTGTTGGTGAACAAGGTCTACTCCGACAACACGCAGCTTCAATACGCCTACTATGATCTGCCGTTCGTCTGTCCTCCTACTGGGAAGCACTCGGCCGGAGGACTGTTGAGTGGACAGAGCATATCATTGAACCTCGGCGAGGTCTTGCGGGGCGACCGCATCATTACCTCGGACATTGATCTAACTGTTGGTCAAGACAGCGAGTGCAACTTTCTCTGCAACCAGGAGATTAGCCGAAAGGATCTCAAGAAGGCCAAGGAGCTGGTCAAGGATGGGTACGTGGTCGAATGGATCGTTGATAACCTTCCAGGCGCTACTAGCTTTGTCACTGTCGACAAGACCAAGAAGTACTATGCTGCCGGCTTCAAGCTTGGCTATGTTGATTACACCTCAAGCAAGCCTCGCTACTATTTGAACAACCACCACACGATTGTCATTCGGTGGCGAAAGGCCCCCGGCCGTGATGGAGACCGCGGTGGCAAGGTTGTGGTCGGTTTCGAGGTCTACACCAAGAGCATTGGAGATGGAGACAAGCGAGAGGACGGATGTCCGGCCGACCTTCACAACATTGATGAGCATTTTGAGCTCTACATTACCCCGAACAAGACGACAAACTTTGCTCAACAGTATCCGGACTCTTCGTATTATCCCGAGGATGAAGAAGCCGATGACGATGCCACGCTATCAATTCCATACACGTATTCCGTGTACTGGCGCGAGGACGACTCGGTTGAGTGGAATAGGCGATGGGATTTGTACTTTGTAAACCAGGAAGAGGGTTCCAAGATCCACTGGTTAGCCATTGTCAACTCCTTGATCATTTGCGGTCTCTTGACTGGTGTTGTTCTCATGATTCTGGCCAAGACTATTCGCACCGACATCAAGGGCTACAAGGAGGCTTTGGCTGAGGACGGAAAATTGCGCGTCAAGCGAGGTCGTAAAACAGGGCTTCTCTCTCCGCGCTTGGAAAAGGGTACCGGCCTGGGATTGTTGGATCCAGAGGGCAAGATGGAAATGGAGGATGACCTCTCTTCCGAAGACGAAGGTCTCGAAGACGTTACTGGATGGAAACTTCTCCATGCCGATGTGTTCCGCAAGCCTGCATACGGATATATTCTTGCTCCCCTCGTAGGATCCGGCATGCAGCTCCTGTTTATGGCCATTGGTTTGGTCTTGCTCAGCGCCTTCGGTATCCTGAACCCGAGCTTCCGGGGTGGCTTCATCAGCTCGGGTGTCGGTCTTTTTGTCTTTGCCGGTCTCTTCTCTGGCTATTTTTCGGCCAGAGTCTACAAGAGCTTTGACGGACAGCACTTTGGCAAAAACTCACTCATCACCGCCATGCTGTTCCCTGGTCTGCTTTTTGGCCTCATTTTCGTTCTGAACCTCTTCGTCTGGGCTCAGGCTTCAAGCACAGCTATTCCCTTTGGCACTTTGGTCGCTATCTTGTTGCTATGGCTCTGCATCCAGGTCCCTCTGGTATATGTAGGCTCATGGTACGGCTATGTCAAAGCGGGAGCATGGGAACACCCTACCAAGACGAGTGCCATTCCTCGACAGATTCCCCAGCAGGCTTGGTACATCAAGAGCCTTCAGGCAATCTTGCTTTCTGGACTTATCCCATTCGCCGTCATCTTCATCGAGCTGCTCTTCGTCTTCCAGTCTATGTGGCAAGATAAGAGCGGATACTATTATGTTTTCGGGTTCTTGGCTGTAGTGGTTGTCATACTGGTTTTGACCATTGCCGAAGTCACGGTTGTGACGGTCTATGTTCAGCTTTGCTCCGAGAACTACCATTGGTGGTGGCAGTCCTTCATGGTTGGAGGTGGAAGCGCTGTGTGGATCTTCTTGTACTGCGTGTGGTACTACTTTGCCAAGCTGCACATCTCGGGCTTTGTCAGCTCCATGCTGTTCTTCACCTACAGCTTCATGGGCTGCTGCGTCTACGGCCTGCTCACTGGTACCGTCGGTTTCCTGACCGCGTACGCTTTTGTGAGGAGAATTTATGGGTAAGTTTTCCTCTCATGTATAGAATCGAGACTGTACATGGCTAACACTATGAGTAGGGCTATCAAGGCGGATTGATGTCTCTGTGCTAGCGGCACAATGATTTAATGGAATAACCTTATTCATGATAGCGGGTTCAGTCTCACTCACTTTTCTTTGCTTTTCACCAAGCATATAAACCGGCGCAACGGCTCGAATTCAAATCCAACTTTTGGCGCAAACAGGGGCAACGAAACCCAATTACCAATCAAAACCCCTGACCAGGTGGCTTGAACAATGTTTAATCAATTTCCGTTCTGTATATAGTCCAATATGTCAGATCGAATGCAAAAAGAAGAAATCCTGTAAGCTTTTGGTGACAAGAAATTAAGGTTATAAATACAAATGTCACTTTGACCTTCCGTACAGTTGAGACTTATGTGATCAGCGTATATCTATTTGCTAACAAATAGCATATGGACTAGACAGTGACCAGACTTGTTGCACCACCCACAATCTACAACCACGCCCTTGCTATGCAATGCCCCAGTAGTTGATGTTCAAAAGTCAGCCGCCTCTAGTATGAAAACTCCCCAGCATTCCGTGCCCACTCCATGACCCTTCTTCTTTGAGAAGGCCCACATATCAAAGAGGCGAATGCTCGTCGTCTGTTGCTATCCAAGGTCTGTATATATTTCAAACCCCCATGAATTCATCATTCGACCCAAATGAGAAAATAAAAGATCAAACGCCAGAAACTCCAGTAGCCCATGCGTTGTCGTCATGAAAGCTTTTCTCCTCTAGTATCGACTTTGCAGATGGTATCTTCGACCTATTGCGACGCTCCGTCTTTGAATCTTTCTCCCTCTGCCTTGCCCTTGTTCCCCGAAAAGGCCTTCTCTAGTCGTCACCATCTCTTAAATGCCAAATAGCGTCTTCATCCTCTCGTACGTGTAAAAGCTGACGGCTACCATGGGAACGACCTTCATGTACCCAATGGTCAGTCCGACAAAGAAGCCGGGGAATCCGCGCTCCTTGAAAATGAGACCAGCCGTCTCGCCAATGCGCAGACGGTGACCGTCGCCCACTGCACCGCTAACTTGCATGCGCCGCCGAATCACCTCGAGCGGATACGAGACCGTCTGCGAGACGGCACCCGAGATGCCGCCGGCCGTCAGCTCGGCCCACGCGCGCAGCGGCGCCGGCTTGTCGGTGGGGGCGCCCGCGGGTTGCGGGAGTGTCGTGTACTCGCGGATCGAGGGGTGGCGGAACAGGTCGCCGGCCGTGTCGTGCGTCAGGAACGACATGCCGGCGTAGGGGACCATGCCGAGGATGGTTGTCGAGAAGCCGCGGTAGAAATTTATGAGACCGGAATGGGGCGTCACAGCTGCCTGCACGGCGCTCGCGGTGGCTGTGGCCGTTGCCGAGGTCGATGTGGCGGTCGCTGACCTTGCTGCTGCTGCTGCCGCTGCGCCGTTGGTGGGTTGTTCGTGGTATATCTTCTTGCAAATGGCAGCAAGCGAGGAGCTCCTATGCTTGGTCTCAAAAGCCAGGCGGACGCGAATGACCTCGAGCGGGTAGGTGAAAAAGACAGAGGTGACACCTGCCTGGGCACCAGCGAAGAAGCGGCGCCACCACGTCTCCTGGGCTGGCGAGGTGATCATGAAGGCGCGGAATTGCTCGTAGGCGACGAACTTGATGGCGGCGTAGGGGTAGATCTTGAGCAGAGTGGCTGAGTGGCCCCGGAACAGGCCTGGGACGCCATTGCCGGCGTAGATGTCGCGCACCGCCCGCGCGAAGCCGGCCCATGAATTTTGGTACTTGGCGAATTGCGGGTTGCTCGTCTGGAAGAGGATCTTGACGCGGTCGAGGGGCGCAACGGTCGTCTTGGCCTGGTAATTGAGCAGGAATTGTTAGCGATCTATTTCTTGTCTTGCCTACTTGGCTGACCGATCTACTTACAGCACAACCTGCCAGTCCACCAGCGATGCCAGACCGTATCATGTAGTCCATGCTGTGCTTGTCTGGCCGCTTCTTCGTCCTCGACTTGACCGGTGCATCGACATCGTCTGGTATTTGTGGTGGTGTATCCGGGGCTCTGGTCGTCCCTCCGCCCGTCATGACGCCCCCAGCTTTTCTAAGGGCGCCGTCCATCTTGCCGACGATGCTGTCCGCGTGACCTTCTCTTGGTATGGGTATATCGGACATGGAAGCATCTTGTGTCGGCATTCCCCACCCTTTGCGTGTTGTGCGGACGCTCCCCCTTGGTGCGGTGGAAGGTCTAGACGGTGGTTCGCTATGATGCTCGCGTGAGCTGCGTAATTCCGCTCTCCTGGTTGGGCGGATTCCTTATTCCGAACCACAGGGCTCGGCTGAGGCCTTTCTCGGGAACAAAGAGAGAGTAAGCGAAGAGAAGTGGCGAGATCTGATCACCTTTCTACTCACTTCCCTGCTGAAATGCACGGCGACAACTCTATTTTGAAATGTCAAAAAAAGGAACAAATAGAAAAAGGGCAAAGGAAAAACCAAGACAAAACTTGTTACGACACCAAAGTAGACAGCGATCTGGGGAAATGTGGGCATGGCAAAGTAGCGCGCTGAAGAAGGGCCCCAAGTGCCCCCTCGTGATTGATTGACTCGGTACAAAGAGTGCGGTAGCCCCGGACCCCTAACGCTTTTGCGAGGCTAACCGCGGACGTCATTTCTCTGCCTTCTCCTCCAAACCTCCACATTTCCCATCCCCCAGGCCGAAGTTTGCCGAGCTATTCCGGTCCTAGTGATTATAGTGACTGGAGAGTATATAAAGGTTAATAAAAAAAGTACTCTCAATGCGCATCTGTTTTGATTGCCACCATTTAGCTATACTTGGTGGTAGAAAAAGTTCCAGCAATCATCTAGCGGCACTTTTTCTTCAGGTGCGTTTTACGAAGTGCATCCAATTGTGCACTCGCAAGGTCAACCTATCTTCGTTCATTCAGTTCAAAACAAGTACATTTCCTAGGGAATAATCATTTGGTGGGGGGCCAACTAATACCAAACGGACTGGACTTGCTCAAATATTGACAAAATTGAGTCGATGAGAATGCTGTCCGCTCATCCTGGCCGCTGAATTGAATACCAAATCCTTTAATTTTCCGTGTTGGCGTTATACTATGCCACCATATGTTGAGCCACCTTTTATTCTATAGTCCTGTTCCAAGTGTCCAGCTGCTCCCTGGGCAATGACCCAGATTTTCTCCTCTCACCTATCGTAATAACACTGTCGCGCCAGAAAAATAGACACGAAGTTGATTTTCATGAAAGGTCAAGGCTCATGCCGAATTCGTAAACTCCTGAGATGCAGGGCGAATGGAGGGGTGGAAGGCTGCGATTCGTTTATAAAGGGAGCCGTCCATCTTCTTCGCCCATGAGCAGCCGTAAGCCGTCCAACATAGACAAGAGAAGGGCGCGAAACTGTCGCCAAGAACACTTCAAAACACATTCTTTGAGGCCGACGGCTATGAATATTCCTAGTTGGATTGCGAAAGGCGCCAAGTCGAGAGAACCGTCGCCGCCAAGGCGCAGGGTACCAAGAAATCCCAATACCGCGCCGACACAGAGAAGATGATAGATGCAGGTTCTGTTCGATATCAAGTTAGCCATTCCCTGATTCCCTTGATCAATAAGAGGGATAATTGGCAAGAGAGAATTTCATACATTAAGAACTTGGAAACTTTGGCAATCTCGAGGAAGCAAAGCCAAATAAAAATTACGAGCAGAACCAACCATGCAAAATATGGTCTGGTAAGTATCTCTAGATGTAAGTTACGTTTGTTCCCACCCGAGGCCTCAAGAGAAACTAACGTCGCTCCAACAATCAATCGGTGTTGACCTTTTTTGCTCTCGATCGAACCAGCAATCATAATCGTTAGTGCCAGGAGTGTCGATATGATGTAGATTCCCCATCTCAACATCAGCATTGTTGTCGCATGGTGTGCCATCTTGTCGCTTGTAGCTGGTGACGTCCCAGACTGGGATAAGATGATATTCGCCCTGTAGATGTCTCCGTATGGTGCATCACTGCCAAAACAAGAAGATGCCATATGACATTGGAAAGAATTTGTCAGGAAAAAGTGGTTTAGAACCATGGGTGGGAAGGTTTCTTTTCCTTGGGGAGTGCGGGATTCATATAGCAAAGTTTCCAGATGGATCTGGGGAACCAGAAATCGCAGTCTGCCTTATTATTGTCTGTCTGTACGGCCGGGCCAAATGGTCTAATCACGTTTCTGTGATCAGTCTCCAGGCCAAATGGTCTAATCACGTTTCTGTGATGATTCTCCATTTTTCATGCACGGTAGGGCCATAGTTTCGTGCGGAGAACCTGGGAGGTGCTGGTTATCCGTCTGTTCTTTCGTGCGGAGAACCTGGGAGGTGCTGGTTGTCTGTCTGTTCAGTCAAATTAAACAGCCTGGTTCCGTTTTTTGTGGACGGTCAGTACCTTTCAAGGGCTACAGTTTTCTGTGTTTCTTTCTTTCTCGCGCTCACCACAGCCCGACGGCAATGTTTTGGCACTATGATTGTGCCAGCCTTTTTCGCTCTCACGCTGTGCCAATTTTTTTCTCAACTCAGCCATTTGTGGCAATTAGTCCTAACAGTTTTCAAAGACCGGGCTAGAAATTTGTGTAACTTATTAAACATGCAGGTTTTCCCTCACCACATCCTTTTTCAATCCACTTGAATCGCAAAGACATTCTCGGCCGCGGGCCGCGTTTAAAGTGCTGACGATGATTGGCAGTTGGCTGCCTAGAGTCCAGCAGCCACCATCATTTGCATAATGTTTGGGTGGAATGTTTACTACTGGGCGAAAATTTTTGGCCCTGCGCCACCGTTCTGGGAGGAGAATTATATTTCTGAGCATCTGCGTGATTGTCTGAGCTGATGCAACCCCCACGATTGACGTTGAATGAGTGGGCTCCCGGGCGCCTTGAAGCTCGTATTTTGACACTGGCAGAAGAACATGTCAATCTAACTAGCGCTTTTGGCTCGGTTGCAGAGTTCAAGAAGAAAACCCGGCATTCCCATACCTGCCCACCGCCTTTAACTCGATATAATGCCAGCTCATTAATCTTCTCCATATCATTACAAGTTTATACTGCTGTAGGTTCGTATAAGTGCCAGTGAAGCCACTTTATAAGCACAATTGCTCCAATAAACAGTATAATGGTGATAGTGGATAGGCTGGTATATGATTGAAGACATGTAACCCCACTTGGTATTGCTGATTTAGGGAATGGCTTTCCCCATTTAGTATCTAGCGCTTTTAGTATAGCCACAAGCCTAGGTAGGGGAAGGATAAAAGCGAACGCTAATTATACGCTCAGCCTATGATAGCCATATATGCCAAGAACTGCTGCTCGTGCCCCCAAGTATCAAGCCAATTCGCACAGGCAAGCCTACGTTGACGGCCAGTCAAAGGGCCCATGCGCCATGGGACGCGAGGAGCGGCTTTCTTCCACGGTCGTCAAAGTCGGCCTCTTCAATGGAACCTCCATGGGTTGTCCTCAGAGCCATCGCCAGACGTGACAATACTGCGCTGGAATACCGTGACGGAGTCTGGCGTTGGCGACGACAATGTCTGACGTGCATTCCGATTCGCAAGGCTTGGCAGCGACGGTGCATACTGACCACTTTCATATCTGGGAAGTTGCGAGTCCTCTGCGCCCATGAAAACTCGTAGTCCCTCCAAAGTTGAAAGTATCAAGCCGCGAATCTTCCTCCAGGACACCATTGATGCACATTCTTGAAGACCGACAGCTACAAGTATGCCAGTTTGGATTCCGATCGGTGTCCAAAGGAAGAGGGTGTTGCTACTGCCCGGCTGCAAAGAACTCAAGAAGGTCATGGTTGCTGCAATACACGCGAGATGATAGATACAATTTCTACGGAAACGTTCTTTCTTAGCCTTGGTTCCAAGAGTACAAAGTTGAAGGGTAACGTACGTAACCATACTAGAGGTCTTGGTCACTTTTAGGAAGGACAGCCAGACGAAGGTGCCAAAGAAGACCAGCCACAGAAAATATGACCTGTATAAAATGCATCAGTGTTTAAACTCCTGTTTCGGGGAGATATGCAAACCAACGCAGCTACTGAGACCAGCATACTGTCATTGTGTTCCCCCAGCGTGCCAATTATAACACTGACAATTGCAGATATTGATGATATGACATAGAGCGCTCGTGTGACCTTGAGCATAACTTCAGTTTGCGTTGTCATCGGAGTTGATGTTGTCGGGTGACTATACTTGGGTGTAAAGATGGACGAGAGTCTTCACAGGGGCTGTGATATATCGAGCAAGGTGGTGGTGATTGTGGTGACAAAGGCTGTAAGATGAGAGAGTGGTATTAAAGAAATGATGAGACGAGTAGTTTGGAAACTGTTTGCTAGATAATTCATGATCGAAAGCGGGTGGACATGTGTTAAATAAGTAGTAAAAGTTAATGATCCTTGAGATGGGATTCAGCATCCCTGGATTTGCTGACAGTGAGATGTCCAGTATTTCCCGATCATTATTCCAATTTTTACATTACAATCGAGTTCGCCAAGATACGGCACGTTTGTCAGGGGTGTGTTGTAATGATTGGCTCGCTCGTTGACTCGGATGGTATGGTCTCTTCCTCTTTGCGGGGCTTGGTTAGCTCAACCCATCCAGGGCGCTTGATGCTATTGACCACTTATTGGGCTGTTCACCACTCATATTGTGTGGGAGCTAGAACCCGAAAGCAGCAGCTCTATCAATATACTGGGTAGGTTGCCCGATGCACATGAGGTTTCGTGCATCATCGGTGCAGTAGTATATCCATCCCCACGCGCGCATTTCGCGCGGCAATGTGGGACCCGGGTGCACATGGCCATTCTCGTGGCTTTGCATCTATGGCGATCCAGGGTCTTTCGGACTCCGCCGCGCCAGGTTGGTAGTCTTTCTGCCCTGGTTTAGTATGGTTTGACGCAGCCAAGAATTGTAATGGTGCATTAGTTTTCAGCGATTAGAGGTGGATGGATTCTCTGGTACAGTGTACTTTTGAACTGTACAGCGTCCATCCTGCTACCAATCGGGACGGTGTGTCTTGCCGGCATGTTGCGAAGCTTAGGTATATAGTACGCAGTAAGGGCCATCCACAGGTGGGCAATAGTGGCTGAATGCTTGAAAGCAAAGTAAGAAACAAGGACAAAAGCTTTCGGAGTCGGCTGGATGACGTTTCCCTCCACACGTGGAGCCAGGCTTTGGCTGGCCACCCACTCAGGGGGTGTATACTTCATAAGCTTCCAGCATATTTGAACTTTTGATCTTGCAGAATTTACAATCACGATTTCAAGGACTGGCATTGATTTTTGACGGTCTGGCATGAGCTTCAGGCTCACTACGGCCAAGACGGTACAGTAGTTGGGACCGCGAAGGACCCGACAGATCGGCTGTCATACACACGTATTGAAAAAGATCCAGCTCCAGCTTAAAGCTGTTCAATCTGATGCGGCAAGCTGCAATTCTCCGAATTGGCCCGAGTCGGTGATTATTATCCTTCAAGGTAGCTCGAGTATCTGTTTTTCCTTGTAACTGTGGTCATTGTACATATCTCTCACTTGTCATATTGATTGTTCTGGTTCTAACAAGATATGATATCATGATTAGAACCCTTGTATGAATGTATCCTGCTTGACAAAAGTAACATGAAGAGCTGCAAGCGGCTCAACAGCATTATCCTTGCTTCAGCGCCCAAAATGGAGTGCAGCATCAACGTATGGCTGGGGAAATGATGGTGGAGAATGACACGGCGCCAAGATAGAAGAGAAGCTGCTGATATCGAACAACATGGGTGAAAATATGATGTGTCGAGAGCATAGCTTGTAACGTTCTGTGAAGCCGTACTTCACAGAGGAAGATGCTCGTCTTGGGCGCCCATGAGAAGCCGCAGTCCATCCAGAAAAGACAGGAGAAGTCTACGGAAATTTCTCCAAGACACTACAGAAGCGCATTCCTGGAGACCGACGGCTAGAAGTATTCCTACTTGGATTGTAAAAGGAGTCCAGAGGAAGGAAATCTTGGCATTGTAATTTCCATTGTGAAGATAGCCGAGGAAGGCCAGCGTCGCTCCAATAATGATGAGATGATAGAAACAGATTCTACATAAGAAAGTACTTCTCGTGAGTGTTTGATAGATCTAAGTGTCGGTGAACGCATGCAAAGAACATACCTGTGGAAGTCGGAGTCTTGAGAGACCCTTAGGTAGGAGAGACAGATGAACACGAGAAACAACACAAACCACAGCACATATAGCCTAGGAAGTATTCACGTCAGTCATGTCTTCTATTTAAAGATTATCAGGACCGCACTTACGTGGTTACGGCAACACCAAGACGATCGCTTTGCTCTGCAAGCGTGCCGAGGCCTACGATGACCGATGCAGGTATTGTCGCGGCGATGTAAAGTCTTTTTGGTAAATTTTGCATTGTACGAGCTGGAGAACTGATCAAAGTAGAAGAAAGTTCTCCATTCATTTGCCAGTACATGATCGAGGATGGAAACAATAAAACCTGAAGATGAAGGAGAAGGAAGCAATGCGTGAGTCGTTCTGTGTATTATGTCCTAGTATCGACCAAGACAATGCTAGTTGCTGGATGTATCTTGTTTATCCTCTTTTTTGGTCTTTGCGCTTCTCATCCTTTGATTCTCAATATGAGCGACGTAATATGAACGTTTCTGCGTCACTCAAGGAGTCAGATAGGCCTCAAGGCCCGTGGTCATGAAGAGGAAGGATAAAAACTTATTCCAGATGCAAAGTGCAGTATAAAAGGAGCGACTACCACCGATGCTATATATGTGATCGATAGTATATATTTCCTCTCTTCTTACTAGTGTTGTGTATATGCGTTAGCCGATCATAAGGCTCGAGCGAGCCCATTCCGTGATCCTGGGCTCCGGCGGGTCTGACGAGCCACCGAACAATGCCGCCCATTAGGTCCATCGACTACTTATGTGCCTTCGCAGCCAATCGGGACGCTTTATCCAATGCAATTTGCAAGGGTACCATAGACTAATCCACGCGCGACACACGGTTAAATTCCCTTTCTGGGACTACGTCTCACCCGGACGAGTCAAATAGCCTTTTCTGCGTTCGGACATTGCTGACTTACGGGAAGGATGCAGACGTGACACAGCATGGTGGGGCTGCAATACCAATACGACCACATATACAGAGCTTGAAAATATGCAATTCTGTTGTCCTCACTTCGTCTGTTTTCGCGTCTAGGCAGTCCCTTTACTATGCCGCTTGGTTGCGGCCGGCAAGTCTGGTCGCGACGCAGTAGATAGGCAACACTTCTCTGCAATTATCGCCACCGTGATGTTTCAGCTAGTAGACTCGTGACTACTGACACTTGACTGAAGATCGCATGAAAATATATAGAAACCGCAAAAAAAAAAAAAAAAAAAGAAAATTCACAGAAACTTCTGTTTGCATACACATGCTGGGATTGTGACCTGGAGACCAAGCCTGGTATGTAGTCTTGAGAAAAGAGCCAGTGCACAGTCTAGGTAAGCTCGACGACTGCTTCGGCGATGTGAGCTCATTGGTCAGCAACTTGGATGGCGGCTGTTGGTGAGCAGATCTCAAAAATTGATTGAATATATGCGACCAAGATTGTTTGACTTGAACACATGTGCTGGACTTTGGGGAATTCAATACCAGGGAAACTGACGTCACCTCTATTTCTTCGTCGCACCCAAGTTGCATGACATGGCCATCTAGGACTTTTTGCAGCGCGGCAGTCTGGACAAACGCCCGCCACCTCGTGTCATCAACCTGCACAGCCACCGCCTATAGCAGATGAGAAGTCGGCCATTGGACGTATCGGTGGGGCCTCTCAAGTCACCCTTATTGACCCTTTTATTCCCCCTTCACTTTTCCCAAATCGTACTTATTGCTGCAGAATAACGTGAACCATAAGAAACCATCTGTATTATGCTAACCTTAAGTGCTTTGCATGATTTTCCTGGGTACCTGAGTATCGTCAGAGTATAATAATGCAGTAGGTAATCCGTTGGGACTAAGACCCCCACGCTCCATTCGACATCCCACCATTAGTGGCGGAAGGGGCGGGGCGGGGCGTGCTAGGCCCCCCCCGAGTCCAGCGACTCCAGCCAGCAGTAGCTTATTTAGTATAAGAACAACCCTATTGTCTTTTTGCTGTCTAGCTTGTTTGCAGCCTACTCTGCTATCTCTGTACTTCTTTTATCAGCCATAGTAGTTCGACCTAATCGATTGTGACACTATTTTGTCACATTTCAAACTTCCTGCACCTGTTTACACGACTATCGAGAAAAGCCCAACTAGAATCATATACAAGATGCTTTAGCGTGTGCATTTGATATCATAATATTACATCCAATCCAGATTGATCGGTTGATCTCCTCCGTCAAGGATGGCCCCATTAAGGGAGCAATATACCGGTCTATAAACACGAGCCCAATATGAAAAGCTGTACTTGAAAGAACAACTCTTACCTATCTTGACCTACTTGCACATTTATTTCTAATCTATCGTGTTCCACCCGATCTTTCAGGGGAGAAATGGACTTGGACTTGGACTTTTTGATCATATATCGCAAGACGCACAGCCGAACAATTTCTCGAGTTATTCCTAGCCAACGCAGCTTCGTCACAATCGTGGAACCTTTGGTTTCCGAAGAATTGGATCTGATATCTCGAACTCGGTCCTACTGCACCTGAAGAGGCAGACTCTATATGGCTAGAGTTCGATGACTGGTTGAGGGTTCAGTGGATAGCCAGGGAAAACGTGAGAGATATGATACAGATGAAGCCGATATTGTCGACAAAACCATGCGCTTGCTAGTTGCATCGTAGATGGCAAAGTACAAGGGCACGAGTCTATCTGGGGAGGCCTTGCTCCTCGGCATCCACAAGTAATTGTCGCAGTCCGTCCAGAGAAATCAATATGAAGCGCCGCAGCGAATGTAATAGAAGTAACGAAAAGTCCTGGAATGTTCTTTGTGAGACCAAGGCGCATTCTTCGAGACCAACACCGAGGAATATGCCAACATGAATGGCGATGGGTAACCAGAGGAAGAGCGTGGTGTCGTCACTAGCTTGTAGATAGTTGATGAAAGCCATTACTACTCCAATACATAAGAGGTGGTGAACACAACTCCTATTGAATAACAAGTTTGTCATTAGGGATGACTCGAAAAAGGGAGGCATCGGACATACATGAAAAACTTGGAATCTCTAGCCACCTCTAGGAAGTAGAGCCAGACAAACAAGACGAATAGTACAAGCCATATCATATACGGACTGTAGAAGGACTGATATGAGCTTCGTCTCTTCATGCGTGAGATGTCGGGAGTGTGCCTACATGGTCACGGCCGAGAGCACTCGATCATCTTGTTTCCCAAGTGTGCCAGCAACCACAATAGTTAGTGAAGGAATCATCATTGCGATGTAAAGCCCCCTTCTCACATGCAGCATTATGATGGATTGAAGGTACAGACTGATATCTTTGATGCCAGCCGAAGTAAGAATAAGTGAGCCGGTACAAGTAGAGAAAAGATGTGAATTATAATGGCTTGTCCAAGGTCAACGAAACAACACGAAGCCAGATCATGTGCCATCATCGTTTCTTAAATAAATTGAGAAACGAAAGGCAATGAATCTACCAGTTTAGTGACTAGGTTTTCGATCAAAACGACGTTGAGCTGTGGACACTGGAGTATACCCTAGGAGCCCAGCGGTCTGGGTGAGGACCCATACCCCAAACTGGATTTGAGTCACTTACGGCGCTTGGTTGTGATCATGATCTAGCATATGCTACTCTTGAGGCATATTGTACTCGCTATTGGATGGCTTGGGCACGTCAAGTAGAAAAGAAAGCCGGGGACGTGACATGGGTACCTAGTGTCTCTCGGGCGTACATGGAGCTTAAAGCCGCGAGAGATTTTCAGGTTCAAAAGACACTTCATTGTAATTTTTTTCAGATGCCCGATGCAGGTTGGATCTTGCCGGACTCGCGCACGCCCCTGCAAGCTGACTCGTGTATAGACCCTTGTGTTTGCTGCGACTGTCTTGACCGTCTATCCGTTGTTAGACGCTAATGTGGAATAGGAACGTTGGTTGGCAAATGCGTGTGAATTGCCATTACGTCGGGCGACCCATTGGCCTGTGCGTCCTCTGCAGGGTGGATAGAGGAAAAGACAGGTTCAGAAGTTGAGGAAGGGAAGGCAGAGGGGAAAATCCCGCCCTTCGAAATCAGAAAGATCCCACAAAACTCTCCCTCACCGGCCGGTTGTCGCTTCAAAGTTGCCCAGGGACCCCGCGGGGGGCTGAGGTGAGAGGAAACGAGGAAGGGAGAGGAAGGAAGAGGAAGGAAGCGGAAGGAAAAGTGGGGGGGAGGGGTTCGAGTCCTGACGCAACTCTATATGATCCAGAGGGACAGCAACTGTTCTCGTGGTGCCAGGCTTTGGTCTCCCCGCAGCTGCATTGTACCTGGAGAAAAAAGCCCAGTTTTGGAACTCCAGCTGTAGTTCCATCCCGAAGCTCTTGCACCCGTGTCGAGGTGTATCGTCGGGCGGTGTGAGAGGATGGGCTTCTCAAAAGCGCAATTATACAGTTTGACATTGCACGTCCACAAGCCAAGATTGCCCGGCCCGCAGCACAACTTGCTAACATCACCACAGTCAAGATCATATTTGATCCCAATACGCTAGAAGTTAATAAAGTGGAGTGACGTCTGCCGCCCCTCAATAACAATGGCTTTGCTGGTGAGAATCGCGTTGTAGTGGCATAGCGGCATTTCTGACTCCGACTTGGATTGTGGAGCCTACGATTAATAGACCCTGTCAGATACCCTTACCGTGAGACAGTGTCATAGATACGAAAGCTGACCCATGGAAACCCAACGCTTCGTTCTTGAAGACAGTCGTGAAATGGATTGTCTCTGCTACTTGAAATCTCGTCGACGTGATCGAAACCGCGACGGGGGTGGTGACGACTGATTGGCCCTGGCATTATCACATTTCATTGGTTGCTTAATCTCCTCCTCCTTGGGATTTGAATCATCAGACGGTGATCGATTATACCTTGGAAGGCTATACCACTTGTGTCATCGAAAGTATTGAAATAGTAGTTGATACAATTGGTGGTGTTATATGACCACGGTCCATTATGTATAATAATCTCTATAAACTGTGGAACTCCATTTAAACGAAAAATCGATTTGAAACACCAAGAAGAGTCGCATCTTTTCAGCTTTGAATCCAGTCGAAAATATAAATTGATGCCCTGTCGCTGGCTATGTTGTATGTGGAGAGAGTTGTCTTTTATATTTCGTCGTCAATCGGCGTCCGGCTCAAATTGAAACCGATATCGAGGTGGAATGAGTTTAAGAAGCCCCTGAAAGAACGATGCCGTCCCTAAAAGCAGAGACAACAGCAGCCAT